AAAATTAATTATTATAACTATTCCAGGTGATTATAATTTATTCACTTACTACACAATCAACTCATTTTTATAAGGAGCAACATACTATTTTGAGGATTAAACAAGTATAATATTAATTGATACTACTCCTGTTATATACTTATGTAACTATGTAACAAGAAATATAACAACATTTAATACAATTATTAAAGATACATAAGGTATTTAGATGGATTAAAATAAAAATATCATTTTCTTATATTCATACTCATTTATTTCTGCTTTGAAGTTTCCAGAAATGTAACTTATAGAGATGTTTTCATTACAATAATATAATCAAGCAAATATCTTAGCTATTTACATAAATTAGCTTATTTAAGTGCTAATAGTTTAAACAAATACAGCTTTTATTGCTTTTGATCTTACAGAAGTACTTTACTAATCAGAAATAAACTTATTATAGTATTAAAATGTTTAGAGTGTTTATTTAAATGAAGAATATTAAGTTTATTATAGTATTTCGATTCTCTCACTCAATCTATTTTATAAAGCAAAGCTTGTTGACTCATTACTATTCGAAATATCCCAGTAGAATATTTATCCATATTTAACTGAGCCTATATTAATATCAGAAAATCAATTCATCTATATTACATTTAATTATTTAAATCTAATTTAAGTAAACCTCTAATATAACTCTTTAGAGCTAGTATCTAGAATTTTATTGCAAAGTACACTTGACAATTTCTTTTATGATTCAAGCTAAAATTAAATATTTTTGCTGTACAAATCAGGCTTTTAGTTAAATAGTTTAAACACCAACATACTAAGTTAAGGTGAAATATTATTAACTAATTTTTAACAAGGTGATATATCAAATGCATTAATCTGCAGTAATTATATTATCGTTCCAACTAATAACTATATATAAATATATAATATTAAATCTAACTAAATACAGAATATTTCTTTACCTAGCGAAGGTAAAATAAAATTAACTTTTAAATTACAGGTAAAGTAAATTAATTCACAAGAAAATAATTGGTGGAAAATTCCTTTTGAAGACAATAAAAGATTTAACACATAAGATTGGGCATAAGAGGGAAATTTAACTAAAGATGTTTTTATATTGCAAAAGTAAGGTAATTAAAATACAATATTAATTTTAGATTTGCTTATGATAGAGTTCACTTACAAAAAAAATATAGATAATTGGTAAATAATGAATGTTGTAAATGATCCTATTAAATAACTCATTTATATTGTTAGTAACGAGGCAACTACTAATATATTTAGCTATACTTTAGATTTTATTACTTAAATTAAAAATCCTTGCATGAAATAAGCAATTATATCTTTCGATTAAAATTTTGTATATTCTATTTGCCCAAATGATATTACAGTGTACAATGGGATAAGCTTTGAACAATAATTTCCTTCATTAAATACAGGAATTACAGAAGCAAATAATTTAATAAATATGAATTATAATAACCATTTTATTATTATTTAAAAAAATAAATTATCCGTAATATAATTGAAATATAATGGCACCTATTCAAATATTTATGAGTACTAAATAAAAAACGCATTTTTATAAAACTTTTAGCTAATTATAGATTCTAATAATCAAAGATATTCATCTATATTGGTATCTAATTACTAAAATATAACTTAAATTAAATTACCTTTATCAACAAATAAAGTATGTTCTGTTTAAATTTAACAACAGAATAGAAAATCTGAAAATATTTATTCAAAAACTGTTATTAATGAGATAACTTAATCTATTCAATCTACTTAATAAATACTTTCAATAATAGAAATAGAATATCAAGATGGATAATCTATTGAATAAATAGACATTAATATTCAAGACTAAAATAGAGATGAAACACACAAATTGAGTTTAAGGTTATTATCTAAATATGAAAGTTAAATCAAATGGATAAATGATATTCAATTTTCCAAACAAGTTTCTAATTTATTTTTAAAATAAATGTCTCTATCGATAGCAACTCAAATAAATTTAAACTTAAATGGTACTATGGAAAATTTTTAAATGCTGAATGTTTCTTTAAATTTAAATGAATCACTAAATTTATAAAATTTTAAAAAGGTTTATTTATAATAAGTGTTCATTAACTTAGTAAGTTTTAGCTAAATTTAAATTTCTAACTGTGAATCGGTTATCATAGATTAATTATTCTTGTAAAATATAGAAAGGCATGATGGTTTTATATTTGTTTTAAATAACAATACTAATGTTTTAATTAACAACGTTTATCTTTCGAATTCAGATTCTAATAATATTTTTTAGATAGGTTAAAGTCAAATGGTAAATATTTCAAATATTAATATTTCAAATTGCTAATATTTATACAATGTCTTTGCGCTATGGTAAATAAATGATCTTAAAATTATGAATACTTCAATAATTTAAACGTATTTTTCCACAATTTATTTTATATAAAGCACAATTACATCAAATATTTAAAATATTTAACTCAAGTACACAACAAAAAATGTAATAATCTAAATAAAAGAGTAAGATATTAATGAAATTTAGTATCTAAGTAATTTTGCTATTTTAAAGGATATTGAGATGTTTAATTGTGTAGACGCAATGTTTTCATTTAAAACTAATAGCTTTGAAGTTTCTCAAATAAGTATTGATCTTCTCTAAGTTTCATAAACTATTTTCACTATTCAAGCTAATTAAATTAATATTACTAATTTAAATATTACAAATACAAAATATTTGTTTTCCAAATCTGATATTTGTTTATTAAATATAATAAGTTTTAATAATTCATAAATAGAAAATATCAATTCAAATAACAATTAAATTTAGTTCCTTTCTATGAATCAATAAAACAGTGTAGGATATGCTCTTATTTCTAAAGCAAAATTTATGAATTCTTCTATTTTTAACAGTAATCCCTTAATCCTTTTAAATTAACTGTCTAATGTCGAATTAAAGAATGTACTAATAAAATATGTAGTTAATATAAATAGTTAACATATTTCTATACTTACGATATAAAATTGCAATTTAGTTACTATTTCCGAGAGTCATTTTACAAACAACACAAATAGTAATGGTCCAGGAGGTGTTATTTATGTTTTTGATAGCATGTGGATAATAATATAAAATTCAATTTTTTGGCTTAATACTTGTAAGTTATAAAATGGTGGAGCTATTTATATGATTAACACTATTAAACAAGGAGTTTTGTAAATAAACTAAACTTAGCTAATAGAAAATAAATCAGTTTATTCTTCTGGTGGTTCTATTTATCTCTAAAATAATAACATGATCATGTAAAATTCAGTCATAGCTTCAAATTAAGCATAAATTGGAGGAGGAATATATTATGATCAGGTTATGCCAGATTTTTTAATAGTTCTGTAATAAGGCAATAAAAATAATAATACTTTTAAAGACAATCTAGCATTTATTTATGGATAGAATTTTGGTTCTACTTTAAGGAAAGTATTTATTAATTTAGAAAACATAAAAATTCCTAAAGATAGTTTAAAGTTATATGAAAATAATGTTATATTTATCAAATAAATTAAAAGTGGAGATTAAATAAATTTTGAACAAATATAATTGCTTGATGAAGAAAATAATCCAATGAAATCTATAGATGTTAACTCAACTGATTTTTAATTATTAAGTAGTGATGTTTAATCTTTAGTGCAATAAATAAGTGTTTCTGTATAATGGAATTAAGAAAATAAAGAAATTCAATGCATTGGATAACTTTAAACAAAATAATTTACAAATGGAGGTTTTAACTTAGATGTTCAGATTTTTTACAAACCTATTTCTGAGTTGGTACTAAAAATAGTGAGCAATTCCTTTCCTTCACTGAAAGATTCAAATGGGAATATTGTGGTAAATTCAGGTTAAATAGAATTAATATTGAATATAGAATTAGAGTAGTGTTCAATAGGATAAGTATTTAAATAATATGGTAACTCAATAGCATGTGAATCTTGCCCTGATGGTAAATATTCTTTAAGTTTAAATGATCAAGAGTGTAGAGAATGCCCAGACTCAGCTGCCAAATGTATAGGTTCTAATATCTAATTAAAAGACGGATATTGGAGAGAAGATGAAAGTACTGACAATATTATCTACTGCAGTTTTAACCCTCTATCATGCTAACCATAACTTTTTTCTTCTAAAGTAAATTTCAATCTTGAAAAAATATTTAATTTAAAATATACTATTTTTTTTTTCTTCTAATTTTTATTAAAATATGCTTTTATTGAAAATTAGTCTACTTAACTTAATTATTTAATTTTAAAATATATTAAATCAAATTAAATAAAGTTTTACTGTATTGAAGGACATAAAGGTCCTCTGTGCTATTAGTGCGATTCATATGGTGATATTTGGGGAAATAGATATTCAGAAATTTATAATCATGGAGGAGAATGCTATAAATGCGAAGAAAATATTGATAAAATTGTACTTTACAATTTACTAGTATACTTAATGATTTCTCTTTACATAATTATAATCCTAAGAAGAATTATAATGCAACTAGAAGTTAAAGTTAAAGGATATTATTTAAATAAATTAGAAATTATTTATTTAGGATCAACATGTAAGATATTATTCCATTTTAATAGTTTTAAAAAAATTTATTAAATAAAAAGTAAATTAATCTGATAGATCATAAATTATTTCGAAAATTCTTACCGATCATTTATAAATACTATCATTAGTATGCTCATTTGCTACAAAATTGCCTGTTTTTTTTACTGTTCCTATTTAAATATCAGGAAATTCAGTTAGCGTGGTTAGTAAATCTATTGATTGTGTTTTTTCTAAATACCCAAATTTAAAACCTTTATGGTTATTCGAATTTCTTTGGTCTTTTACTTTACCAGCAGGAATACTTATTTTTTACTTAGTTTAAGGATTTATTTTAAAGCGATTACAAATAGATTTTTTTATCAGGTATTTATAAACTGCAGCTATTTTTATTTATTTTTACTTTTACCCTATGATAATTACTCTTGCTATTAGATCTATTAATTGTATAACTATAGGAGATAAAAAATATTTAGATCTAGATTTTGGAATTGAATGCTATGATAAACATTAGCATAAGCCGTACATATTTTTATTTACCATTCCTGTTATTTTTATATGGGGTTTTGTAATACCTTTATTACTATTCTATAAAATTCACGATGCTAAATCCAAAAAAAAATCGATTATTAAATAAATAAAATATTCTTTCTTATTTGCTGGATATAAAAAACAATACTATTACTGGGAGTTTTGGAAATTGTCTTACAAAACAAGTTTGATTTTAATATCTGTTTTACTATAGCAAAACAACTAATTAAAGGTAATATAATATTTTTATTTTAGTTTTAATCAAATTTTTAGCTATTAAGTTAAGAAAATTGTATTTTTTTGATTAATAATCAATTTTTAATGAGTTTATTTAAAATATTATAAAAATATAAATAGATTAATTTTATTATTTAATTTCCTAAAAATGACTCATCCAATAATCTTAATTAATTCTAACATTAAAAAATAATAGGCTGCTATTACGAATCTTTGTTTGATGATCTAATTTTTTTTATTATTTAAATCAAAACCATATTTAAACAAATATTTTAATAGTTTATAGCAAATATCTACTCTAATATGTACAATATCAATAAATTTTTGTATGATACAGATTGTAGGTGATTAAAATGATTTATTATATTAAACATTTTGGATAGCTATGACTATGCTTCTTAACTTTGTTTTTATAGCTACTTTAATAATAGGATTGTTAAAACTAAAAATTTCTAATCAATAGTAGGAAAGAACATGTTTCTAAAATTTAATATTTAAACTTAAAAAAAAATATCCTTAATTGCTTTATGTGGAAATATAAAATAATTAAAAGGTAAGTTCTTTGCTCAAGTTTAAAAAATTAAGATAAAAAATAAAATAATTTATGAAATCATTTAAAAAAAATGATATATTATTCTCATAGCATTAAAAATTGAAATTAGATTAAAAAAATAATTAGGACTTTGATTATTCATCTGTTTAACCCTAAGTACATTTAATAACTTCACCTGAAATGAATGATGAAAAATTATAAACTAAAGAAAAAAATAACTCTATTAAAAGTATGAAAAATAAATGGTCTTACTACACAAGAAATTCCAAATAAAACTAAATATGTAATTTTGTTTTCTTTCTTAAGAAAAAATAAAATTATTTTTTTTAATTTTAAAAATAGCCTTAAAAGATAGAACATTTGATAAGCAAAACTTATTTTATAGCAATACAAGGGATAGTATTATTTAAGAAACTGAAAGTTCGGTATAAAATAATCAATATAATAGTAGCCATAAATTTTAAATACAGCTCTCTGATAAAATTTGAATATTAGAATCTTATTGGTTTAATTTCCATTAATTTTATTTAAATAAAGTCTTGATATTTTTATTTATATAAATTATTGATTATAAATTTTAAAGCATTAATAACTATTTAATATATATTTTATTTGTTATCTTAATTAAATATTTATTCTAACATTAACACACTTAAGTTTAAAGAATAAAATTTCAAAATAAAAATTTATTTCCTTATTATTTTTAAGAATCTTATCATTTAAGGTGAAAAAATTTTATTTTTATAAAAATATTTATCATAACCTTATTTTATCTAAACTAATATGCATGAGTTAAGTGTTATTAAATAGGGGATCTAGTCTAAATCTTGCTTATTTTAAAATTTTCACATCAGAGAGAATAAAATATAGTTTCAAATAAAATTAATAACACTGTATGTTTTAAACGGTCTAATATTAATATGAATTTAAATAAAACAATATGAATTTTGTACTTTAAATGAATTAAAGATGAAAATTTATTTTGTTTAATTTGTATCTCTTATTTCCTACTAGATTATTGTTAATAGAAAACATAGATTTGTATGGTTAAAAACATATTTTATAATTAGCTATTTATAGACTAAAATATAATTTTTAATTAGAAAATTAATCATTACCTTAACTATAAGCTATTCACAGTTTATCTCTTTAATAATAAACTTAACTTCAAAATTATTTATTTGTATTATTACTTTACTTATTTAAATGATTACTTAAATTTATTGTTATTCGCGGTATATTTTTTCTGTAGAAAACAAGCTACTTGTAAAATTAACCGAATTGTGAGAAATCAATAAATATGGTTGGTTCAATAATTAATATAAAAAACATATAGTATATACTAATTAACTATAATTATTCATCTATAAATTTTCTGATATCTGCTTATAAATAATTTTTTTTTCGAGTTCTTCTCTTCAATCTTAATTTATTGAGTTTTTTTGCTGTTTTTAAATTCAATTAATTTCTGTTAATATTGATCTAAATAGTATTAAATGTTATTTTAATATTTTTCTATTGACCAGACCTTTATATTAATTATTAAATTATTTAATTAAAATGGATGATACATAATTACACATATTTGAATCAGTAAATGGAGTTTATTGGTATAAAAACTTATTAAATATGCCTTTTTTTGTATTAAATTTAACTTCAAGTTAAAATTCTTTAAGATTTTTATTTTGAATAAGGATAAAATTTAATTGCATTATATGACAGCAATTGCTAATGTATTTAGATTTATGATATTATAAAGAGTCTCAAACTGATCAACTAAGTAGTGTTTAATGGTAAATTCGATTTGACAATCAAGTTAGTTGATTGGAATAATCATAGTTTTATATACATGAGTGGTTAAACTTTTTATCTTTATAATCAAAATAAAAATATTATGAATGAATAAATTAGTTTACTAGACTCAAATATCATAGAATACTAATATTGTTTTTAACAATAAATTATTGTTGCCAAAACTTAGAGACAAAATCTATATATAATTAAAGTAATTTTAATTTTAAGATTTTATTATTTTAAATAATAATTAAATTAATTAAATAGATTTAAGAAAAAGCTTCATCAAAAGTAGAAACAAATTTTTAATATATAAGTGATTAGATTGTTTTATAACTTAAATTTGTTTTGAAATGTACAGAAAACATATTAATAATTTATTCTCCTATAGTTAAAATTATCAATTTACTTACTGCAAGAGATTAAGAACAATTTTTAAAAGTAACTTAAAATTTATCTTTAATTAAATTTATTTATCATAATTTATTTAAAATTAATTTTTTATTAAATCTTAGTTTAATTAGCTATAAAGCATAAATTATGCGTAAAATATACCAATTGTTAATGTAAAAGAGTAACTAATAATATGCCTAATTGCAAAAGAAATAAACTATTTTTAAATAAATGACTATTTAGGATACGTAGGATATTTTTATTACAGATAAAATAATACAAATATCTATTATGATTTAAAGTATAAGACTTTGATAGGAGTAACTGGAGTTATAAAAAAAATAAATATTATGACTATTCCAAGTGATTATAATTCCTTTACATACTACACATCCAACTAATTTTTGTAAGGAGCAACATATTTTTTTGAGGGTTTCACCTGTACATTGCGGACATTGCGGATGCGGACATTTTTTTTGGGTACAGGTATTACCTTTTTTGAGGATAAAACAAGTATAATCTTAATTGATACTACTCCTCTTATATACTTATACAACTATGTAACAAGAAATATAACAACATTTAATACAATTGTCCAAGATACATAAGGTATTTAGATGGATTAAAATAAAAATATCATTTTCTGATATTCTTACTAATTTGTTTCTGCTTTGAAGTTTCCAGAAATGTAACTTATAGAAATGTTTTCATTACAATAGTATAACCAAGCAAATATCTTAGCTATTTACATAAATTAGCTTATTTAGGTGCTAATAGTTTAAAAAAATACAGCTTTTATTGCTTTTGATCTTACAGAAGTACTTTACTAAACAGAAATAAATTTATTATAGTATTAAAATGCTTAGAGCGTTTATTTAAATGAAGAATATTAAGTTTATTATAGTATTTCAAATCTTTCACTCAATCTATTTTATAAAGCAAAACTTGTTGACTCGTTGCTATTCTAAATCTCCCAATAAAATATTTATCCATATTTAACTGAACCTATATTAATATCAGAGAATCAATTCATATATATTATATTTAATTATTTAAATCTAATTTAAGTAAATCTCTAATATAATTCTTTAGAGCTAATATCTAGAATTTAATTACAAAGTACACCTGATAACTTCTTTTATGATTCAAGCTAAAATTAAATATTTTTGTTGTACAAATAAAGCTTTTAATTAAATAGTTTAAATATCAAAATACTTAGTTAAGGTGAGATATTGTTAACTAATTTTTAGCAAGGTGATATGCCAAAAGCATTCATATGCAGTAATTATATTATCGTTCCAAGTAATAACTATATATAAATATACAATATTAAATCTAACTAAATACAGAATATTGTTTTACCTAATAGTGAGGGTAAAATAAAATTAGCTTTTAAATTACAGGTAAAGAAAATTAATTTAAATGAAAATAATTGGTGGAAAATTCCTTTTGAAGATAATAAAAGATTTAACACATATGATTAATCTTCGGAGGGAAATTTAACAAAAGATATTTTTATATTGCAAAAGTAAAATAATTAAAATACAATATTAATTTTAGATTTGTCTAAAATGGAGTTTACTTACCAAAAAAATATAGATAATTGGTAAATAATGAATGTTGTAAATGATCCAATTAAATAACTCATTTACACTGTTAGTAACGAGGCAACTACTTATATATTTAGCTATACTTTAGATTTTATTACTTCGATTAAAAATCCTTGCATGAAATAAGCAATTATATCCTTCGATTAAAATTTTGTATATTCTATTTGCCCAAACAATATAATTGTGTACAATGGAATAAGCTTTGAACAATAATTTCCTTCATTAAACACAGGAATTACTGAAGCAAATAATTTAATAAATATGAATTATAATAACCATTTTATTATTGTTTAAAAAAATAAATTATCTATTATATAACTGAAATAAAATGCTGCCTATTTAAATATTTATGAGTAAGATTAAAAAAACAGATTTTTATAAAGCTTTTAGCTAATTATAGATTCTAACAATCAAAGATATTCATCTTTACTGGTTTCTAATTATTAAAATATAACTCAAATTATATTACCCTTATCTACAAATAAATTATGCTCTATTTAAATACAATAACAGAATAGAACATCTGAAAATATTTATTCAAAAACTGTTATTAATGAGATAACTTAATCTATTTAATCTACTTAATAAATACTTTCAATAATTGAAATAGAATATTAAGATGGATAATCTATTGAATAAATAGATATTAATTTTCAAGACTAAAATAGAGATGAATCACACAAATTAAGCTTAAGGTTATTATCTAAATATGAAAATTAAATCAAATGGATAAATGATATTCAATTTTCCAAATAAGTTTCTAATTTATTTTTAAAATAAATGTCTCTATCGATAGCAACTCAAGTAAATTTAAATTCTATTGGTACAATTGAAAATTTTTAAATGCTGAATGTTTCTTTAAATTTAAATGAATCACTAAAATTACAAAGTTTTAAAAAGGTTTATTTTTAATAAGTGCTCATTTAATAAGTAAATTTTAGCTAAATTTAAATTTCAAACTGTGAAACAGTTATTATTGATTAATTAATCTTGTAAAATATAAAAATGCATGAAGATTTTATATTTGTTTTAAATAACAATACTTATGTTTTAATTAACAACGTTTACCTTTCTAATTCAGACTTAAGTAATATTTTTTAGATAGGTTAAAGTCAAATGGTAAATATTACAAACGTTAACGTTACAAATTGCTAATATGTATTTAATGTTTTTGAACTATGGTAAATAAAAGATCTTAAAGTTGTGAATACTTCATTAGTTTTAAGTACTTATTCTACAATCTATTTTATACAAAGCACGATTATATCAACTATTTAACAAATTTATCTTATCTAATCAAAAAAAAATATAATAATTGAAATAAAAGAATAAGATATTAATGCAGTTTAGTATCTAAGTGATTCTGCTATTTTAAAGGATATTGAAATATTTGATTGTATAGACACCATATTTTTTTTTAAAATTAACAACTTTGAAGCTTCTCAAATAAGTATTGATCTTCTCTAAGCTTCCTTAACTATTTTCACTATTCAAGCTAATTAAATTAATATAATAAATTTAAATATTACAAATATAAATTATTTGTTTTCCAAATTAGATATTAATTTAATATATATAATAAGTTTTAATAACTCATAAATAGAAAATATTAATTCAAATAACAATTAAATTTAGTTCCTTTCTATGAATCAATAAAAGAGTGAAGGATTTTCTCTTATTTCTAAGGAAAAATTTATGAATTCTTGTATTCTTAACAATAACCCCTTAATCCATTTAAATTAGCTGTCTAATGTTGAGTTAAAAAGTGTGCTAATAAAAGATATAATTAATATAAATAGTTAATATATTTCTATATTTATGATATAAGAATGCAATTTAGTTACTATTTCCGAGAGTCATTTTACAAACAACAAAAATAGTAATGGCCCAGGAGGTGTTATTTATGCACTTGATAACATGGAGATAATTATATAAAATTCTATTTTTTGGCTTAATACTTGTAAGTTATAAAATGGTGGAGCTATTTATATGATTAATACTATTATGTAGGGAGTTTTATAAATAAATTAATCTTAGCTAATAGAAAATAAATCAGTCTATTCTTCAAGTGGTTCAATTTATCTCTAAAATAATAACTTGATCCTGTAAAACTCAGTTATAGCTTCAAATTAGGCATAAATTGGTGGAGGAATAAATTATGGTCAGGTTATGCCAGATTTTTTAATTGATCTGCAAAAAGGTAATAAAAATAATAATACTTTTAAAGACAATCTAGCGTATATTTATGGATAAAATTTTGGTTCTACTTTGAGGTAAGTATTTATTAATTTAGAAAACATAAAAATTCCTAAAAATAGTTTAAAGTTATATGAAAATAATGTTATATTTATCAAATAAATTAAAAGTGGAGATTAAATAAATTTTGAAAAAATATAATTGCTTGATGAAGAAAATAATCCAATTAGATTTGTAGATGTTAACTCAACTGATTTTTCATTATTAAGTAGTGATATTTAATCTTTAGTGCAATAAATAAGTGTTTCTATATAATGGAATTAAGAAAACAAAGAAATACAATGCATTGGATAACTTTAAACAAAATAATTTACAAATGGGGGCTTTAACTTAGATGTTTAGATTTTTTACAAACCTATTTCTGAGTTGGTATTAAAAATAGTGAGCAATTAATTTCCTTCATTAAAAGATTCAAATGGGAATATTGTGGTAAATTCAGGTTAAATAGAATTAATATTGAATATAGAATTAGATTAGTGTTCAATAGGATAAATATTTAAATAATATGGTAACTCAATAACATGTGAATCTTGCCCTGATGGTAAATATTCTTTAAGTTTAAATGATCAAGAGTGTAGACAATGCCCTGATTCAGCTGTCAAATGTATAGATTCTAATATTTAATTAAAAAACGGATATTGGAGAGAAAACGAATATACTGACAATATTATCTACTGCAGTTTTAACCCTCTATCGTGCTAACCATAACTTTCTTCTTCTAAAGTAAATTAAAATTTTTATAAAATATTCAACTCAAAATATACTTTTTTTTTTTTCCTTCAAATTTTTAATAAAATGCTTTTATTAAATAGTTTTACTGCGTTGAAGGACATAAAGGTCCTCTATGTTATTAGTGTGATACATACGGTGAAATTTGGGGAAGTATATATTCTGAAATATATAATAATGGAGAATGCCATAAATGCGAAGAAAATATTGAAAAAATAATACTTTATAATTTAATGGTATACTTAATGATTTCTCTTTACATATTTTTAATTGTAAAAAGAATAATAAAATAGCTAGAAGCTAAAATTAAAGGATATTATTTAAATAAATTAGAAATTATTTATTTAGGATCAACATGTAAAAAATTATTTTCCATTTTAATAGTTTTTAAAAAATTTATTTTTTAAAAAGTAAACAAATCTGATAGATCATAAATTATTTCTAAAATTCTCACCGATCATTTATAAATACTATCATTAGTATGCTCTTTTATCTCAAAAATGCCAGTTTTATTTACTGTTCCTATTTAGCTATCAGGAAATTCAGCTAGCTTAACTAGTAAATCTATTGATTGTGTTTTTTCTAAACACCCTAATCTACAACCTTTGTGGTTATTCGAATCTCTTTGGTCTTTTTCTTTACCTGTAGGAATACTTATTTTTTACTATATAAAAGGAATTATTTTAAAGCTATTAAAAATAGATTTATTTATCAAGTATTTATAAACTGCAGCTATTTTTATTTATTTTTACTTTTACCCTATGGTAATAACTCTTGCTATTAGATCTATTAATTGTATAGCAATAGGAGATAAAAAATATTTAGATCTAGATTTTGGAATTGAATGTTATGATAAAAATTAGCATAAGCCGTACATATTCTTATTTACAATTCCTGTTATTTTTATATGGGGTTTTTTAATACCTTTATTACTATTCTTTAAAATTTATGATACTAAATCAAAAAAAAAGTCATTTATTAAATAAATAAAATATTCTTTCATATTTGCTGGTTATAAAGAACAATTTTATTACTGGGAGTTTTGGGTATTGACTTATAAAACAAGTTTGATTTTAATATCTGTTTTACTCAAATAAGGCATCTAATTAAAGGTAACATAATATTTTTATTTTTATTTTAAAATAATAAATTTAATAAAATATTAAAATTTTTATCTATTAAATTAAGAAAGTTGTATTTTTTTACTAATTATCAATATTTTTAAGTAGGTTTATTTAAAATATTATTTAAATATAAATAGATTACTTAATAATTTCAGTTAATTTTATTATTTAACTTCCTAAAAATAAATTATCAATAAATTCTAGTAAATTCTAATTAATTCTACCATTAAAAAAATAATAGGTTGCTGTAATAAATCTTTGTTTGATGATCTAATTTTTTTTATTATTTAAATCATAACCATATTTAAACAAATACTTTAATAGTTTATAGCAAATATCTACTCTAACATGTGCAGTATCATTAAATTTTTGTATGATACAGATTGTAGGCTATTAAAATAACTTAACATATTAAATATTTTGGATAGCTATGACTATCCTTCTTAACTTTCTTTTTGTAGCTATATTAATAATAGGATTATCAAGACTAAAAATTCCTCATTAATAGCAGTAAAGAACATGTTTCTAAAATTTCATATTTTAACTTAAAAAAAAATATCCTTAATTGCTTGATGTGTAAATATAAAATAATTAAAAGGTAAGTTCTTTGCTCAAATTTAAAAAATTAAGATAAAAAATAAAATAATTGATGAAAGTATTAAAAAATAATGACATATTATCCTAAGAACATCCTAAACTTAAATTGGATTTAAAAGATAATTAGGATTCTATTTTTTCACAATCTTCACCAACTCACTAAATAACTTAATATGAAATAAATGACGAAAAAATTTTCACTTTTCAAAATAGTAACTCTATTAAAAGTATGAAAAATAAATGGTCTTATTACACAAGAAATTCCAAAAAAAACTAAATATGTAATTTTGTTTTCTTTCTAAAAAATATTAGAAAATTTTAAATCTAAAAAATAGCCTTAAAAGATAGAACATTTGATAAGCCAAGCTTAATAAATAATAATAATACAAGGGAAAGTAATATTTATGAAACTGAAAGTTCCAATTAAAATAATCAATATAATAGTCACCATATATTTTAAATACAGCTCACTCAAGATAATTGTTGATATTGGCTTAATTTCTCTTAAGTTTGAATAAAATAATGATATATTTATATAAATTGCTTGTTATAAATTTAAAAGCTTCAATAACTTTAAATATATTATTTATTTATTATATTTTAAGTATTTATTATAATTTGAGTTCAATAGCATTTAAAGTATAAAATTCTAAAATAAAATTATATTTTCGCATTTAGATAAATAACTAAACATGAAAACATAAAAATAGATATCTAAATTAATAATAATAATAATAATAATAATAATAATAATAATAATAATAATAATAATAATAATAATGGGTAGGGAAATATTTGACATAAATTCAACAAAAAAAAAGTTTTGACATAAAAAAATTACATATTTTATTTTTTAAACATAAAATGGCTGAGCTTATAAAAAATGTGAGGGATTTAAGTATATAATATTAATCATCTTTATATGTTAAATATGTTAAATATTTTAAATAAATAAATTTTTATTATAGAACAAGACTCCCTTTGACTAAATCTAATATTTATAAGCAAATATTATATAAAACAGTAATTCCCCTCATTTAAAAAAACAATATAATAAAAGACATTCATTATTCAAAGGATTAATTTTTATTAACATGATTAAATTATTAATGTTGTTATTTTGATTTATTTTTAGATAAGGCTATTGAGATTAGTACATTGTAAAAATTGAATAATTTTATTTATTTTTGAACTGTATTGTTTAGAAAAGAATTTAAAGCATCAGTAAAATTTAAAAGAATGTATTACTAGATAATTAGCATAATTTTCTTGTGCGCAATTAAAATATGTTTTTGTACTCAATGCAAGCCAAATTAAATTTATTCTTTGATAGATTAATCTTGCCTTTAGTGTTCAAATTCATGCAACACTTGCTTTAATACTAGTGAATCTGCATGTATTACTTGTGAGGATAATCTATTTAAGAGTTCTATTGATAGTTCTACTTGTGTACAAAAATGTTCAAAAGATGAATTTTTAAATGAAAATTTAGAATGTATGAAATGTTAAGTCTACGGATGCGCTAAATGTGATACAAACTAAATATGTAATGAATGTGACTAATAATTTAAGCTTGATATAGCTAATAATCAATGTATTTTAATGAATAATGTTTGCCCATTTTTAACAGACTTTATTTAGGGACCATCAAGCCTTAAATAATGTAATAAAGATTGTCCATAAAGTTTTTATTAGAACATGGAAGCACAAATCTGCGAAGAGACTATAAATTGTATTTAAATTGAAGAAAGCTAAAGATTTTCTTTCACTTAAAGGGTTTAATAAATATAGCCAATTAATGAGGATCAATATTTAGTTGTAGGAAATGCTTGTACTTTTGCTCTAGTAGATATTAATTGGAAGGTGATTAATATATAAATCCTTTAAAATTTAACAGATTATGATTAAATATATACTTCCATTGGAGAAGAAATAAATAATGAAAGTTTTATTATTGGAAATTAAGGAGGATGCCTTGTAGGCAGCAAATTATTGGTGATGAATTTTTAAACATTTGAAATTGTATTTGAAAGTATTACAATAGTTGATTATTTTGTTGAGTATATAGATTAAAAAAACCAAATTGTTTTTCTACAATCATTTTACTCAGATAACCTTTTATGGTATGATGTTATGAACAAGAGATTAAGCTAATACCAGATCGGCTTTTAAACAATTATTTTATTTTTTTAAATTCAAAGCAATAATACTACAACATATTTTATATAAAAAGACGATTTCTCAATTTAAGTAAATTTCAAATATTTTAATAAATCTTTATTTATTTATTAATTTTTTTAAAAAAGAAAGGAGTTTTGGATGAATAAAGATAGATAATATTTTAAAATATTAATTAATTGAATTTGGATAATTAAATTTTTGAAGATCTAAAATAATAAAATGATTTCTTTATTTTGACTTCTTTTTCTTCTTCTTCTTTTTTATATAACTAATTTGAAGTTATAAAAATTGATATTAAATAAGATTTAATAGCTTTAGTTTAAGTTATATAATCATTTAAAGTATCTTAATTTACATAGAGTTTGCCAATTTATTATTCGAATACTCTTAATTGTATTTTTGTGCAAAATAGTGAGAGTTTACATTTAGAAATGCTCATTCTAAATGAATAGTCTGATTAAATAATTTCAATCATGAATTTAACTTATTCATAAATAAATTCATTTCAAATTTTTGAAGATACCCTGTCAAATTCAACTATGGCTTTTATATTTTCTGACAGTCTCTAAATAATGAATCTAACTAGTTATTTAATTTCTTACAATTTAGGTTAAGCTTAAAATTATGTAAATCATTTCAAACCTTTAGATTAATCTTTTATACCTGAAATATCAAAAATAACAAATATAATAATTAATATGGATTAAAAATTAATGGATGTCTTCGTTACTCAAATTCTTTCTCAGTACAATTCTTATTAATAATAAATTAGATTAAGATATAATCTCACAGATTATACATTTAAGATTTAATACTTAAATCCTTTTTAATTTGGTACATTTTATTATGATGAGACTACGCTTATAAGTTAAAATTATTTTGCTGTAGCTCGCTTTGATAAAATTGATGAGAATAAATTATTTATTTATGGTAGTCATCAATCATTTATAAATTACACTATAGGGTATTTAACAATATCAGAATATATTTATAACTTTTAAAAAACTCCTGCTATTAATACTAAAAGTATTAGTTTTAACTAAAATGATGGTTCTATTAAATAAACTTACTAGTTTATTGGTTAAATAGGTAACTAATATATTTTACTTTAATAATAGACAAATTAGACGGTTTATGACTATATAATTGATATTGAATAAGAAAAATAAATAATATCATATAATTATAGTTTTAATAATTAAAAGACAATATTTGTTTATCTTTAAAATAAAAACCTTTTATTGATATAAAACATTCCATAAATCTTTAATCTTAGTAATTCGAAAGAGCTAATTAGCAATGATTAAACTCAATTTTTCTCTTTCTCAAGTTATATAATAATCAATGAAGACTACCTTGTTTATTAATCTTCCAATAACTATTAAGAATTAATTTTATATTTATTAGATTTAACTACATTCTTATCTACATAAATATTTAATTTTCATCATAATTAAATTACTAGTTTTTGGACTGTTGATAGCGGAGAAATATATCCTGTTATATTTGATAATGATATTATCTACTTTTGTAATACTTATCAATTGCCTATTTGCTAGCCTTTTTCTTTGAGAGCATAAAATTTTATAATGGAAGCTACATAACTTTAACTTTTTCCTATAAGTAACCCGGCATTTATTTATCAAAAAACAAAGGAAATTTTTTTATTTTATAATGGAATTGTATTAATTTGTTCATAAGATTTGCAAATTCAGAGAGAGCTAAATCTAGGAATTTAATATCCTTCTAATTAATATTATATTTAATTTAATATTTTTTAAACTGAGAGATATGTATTTTATTATGATTCAGCCTATTTTTATAAATTTGATATGGAGTTAAAAAAATTTTAAGTTTTAGAAGCTGAGACATTAAAAATTTTTTAACTAAACCAGTAAATAAATTTTTACAAGTTAGAAAGCACTTTTTATGTAAAATAATCAGGAAAAATAATTGACACTGAAAATATGATTATTTTAAACACTTAATAAGAGGAGAATAACAATTTCATTGGTTTAATTAAAATGGATGATACACAATTACACATATTTGAATCAGTAAATGGAGTTTATTGGTATAAAAATTTATTAAATATTCCTTTTTAAGTATTAAATTTAACTTCAAGTTAAATTCTTTAAGATCTTTATTTTGAATAAGGATAAAATTTAATAGCATTATATGACAGCAGTTACTAATGTGTTTATATTTATGATATTATAAAAAACATCAAATTGATCAGTTAAGTAAAGTTTAATGCTAAATTCGATTTAACAATCAAGTTAGTTGATTGGAATATTTATAGTTTTATATATGTGAGTGGTTCAACTTTTTATCTTTAAAATCAAAATAATAATACTATGATTAGTTTACTAGACTCAAATATAATAGAATACTAATATTGTTTTTAGCAATAGATTATTGTTGCCAAAACTTAGAAACAAAATCTATATATAATTAAAGTAATTTTAATTTAAGATTTTATTAATTTAAATTTAATTAAATTAAATAAAATAGATTTAAGAAAAAGCTTCATCAAAAGTAGAAACAAATTTTTAATATATGAGTGATTAGATTGTTTTAAAACTTAAATTTGCTTTGAAATGTACTGAAAACATATTAATAATTTATTCTCCTGTTGTTTAAATTATCAATTTAATTACTGCAGGAGATTAAGAGCAATTTTTAAAAGTAATTTAAAATTTATCTTTAATTTATGTTATGTTTAATAATTTTTTTAAAATTTATTTTTTTATCAAATCTTAGTTGAGTTAGCTATAAATGTAAAACGATGCATTAAATATACCAATTGTTAATGTAAAAGAATAGCTATTAATATGTCTATTTAATATTGAAATAAACTATTTTTAAAGAGATAAATATTCAGGATACATAGGATATTTTGATTATAGATAAAATAATACAAATATTTATTATGATTTATAGTATAGCGCTTTGATAGGAGTAACTGGAGTTATAAAAAAAATAAATATTATGACTGTTCCAGGTGATTAAAATTTATTCACATACTACACAATCAACTCATTTTTATAAGGAGCAACATATTATTTTGAGGATAAAACAAGTATAATATTAATTGATACTACTCCTATTATATACTTATGTAACTATGTAACAAGAAACATAACAACATTTAATACAATTGTTAAAGAAACATAAGGTATTTAGATGGATTAAAATAAAAATATCATTTTCTTATATTCATACTAATTTGTTTCTGCTTTAAAGTTTCCAGAAATGTAACTTATAGAGATGTTTTCATTACAATAGTATAACCAAGCAAATATCTTAGCTATTTACATAAATTAGCTGATTTAAGTGCTAATAGTTTAAACAAATACTGCTTTTATTGCATTTGATCTTACAGAAGTACTTTACTAATCAGAAATAAACTTATTATAGTATTAAAATGTTTAGAGTGTTTATTTAAATGAAGAATATTAAGTTTATTATAGTATTTCAAATCTTTCACTCAATCTATTTTATAAAGCAAAGCTTGTTGACTCGTTGCTATTCGAAATCTTCCAATAGAATATTTATCCATATTTAACTGAGCCTATATTAATATCAGAAAATCAATTCATTTATATTACATTTAATTATTTAAATCTAATTTAAGTAAACCTCTAATATAACTCTTTAGAGCTAATATCTAGAATTTAATTACAAAGTACACCTGATAACTACTTTTATGATTCAAGCTAAAATTTAATATTTTTGCTTTACAAGTCAAGCTTTTAATTAAATAGTTTAAACACCAAAATACTTAGTTAAGGTGAGATATTATTAACTAATTTTTAATAAGGTGATATATCAAATGCATTCATCTGCAGTAATTATATCATCGTTCCAAGTAATAAATATATATAAATATACAATATTAAATCTAACTAAATACAGAATGTTGCTTTACCTAATGAAGGTAAAATAAAATTAGCTTTTAAATTACAGGTAAAGTAAATAAATTCACAAGAAAAAAATTGGTGGAAAATACCTTTTGAAGACAATAAAAGATTTAATACATAAGATTGGGCTGAAGATGGAAATTTAACAAAAGATATTTTTATATTGCAAAAGTAAGATAATTAAAATACAATGTTAATTTTAGATTTGCTTATGATAGAGTTCACTTACAAAAAAAATATAGATAAATGGTAAATAATAAATGTTGTAAACGATCCTATTAAATAACTCATTTATACTATTAGCAACGAGGCAATAACTAATATATTTAGCTATGCTTTAGATTTTATTATTTCAATTAAAAATCCTTGCTTGAAATAAGCAATTATATCCTTTGATTAAAATTTTGTATATTCTATTTGCCCAAACGATATTATTGTGTACAATGGGATAAGCTTTGAACAATAATTTCCTTCATTAAACACAGGAATTAGAGAAGCAAATAATTTAATAAATATGAATTATAATAACTACTTTATTATTGTTTAAAAAAACAAATTATCCATAATATAATAGAAATATAATGGCACATATTCAAATATTTATGAGTACGAAATAAACAATGCATTTTTATAAAGTTTTTAGATAATCATAGATTCTAACAATCAAAGATATTCATATTTATTGGTTTCTAATTACTAAAATATAACTTAAATTATATTACCCTTATCTACAAATAAAGTATGTTCTGTTTAAATTTAACAATTGAATAGAAAATCTGAAAATATTTATTCAAAAACAATTATTAATAAGATAACTTAATCTATTTAATCCACTTAGTAAATACTTTCAATAATAGAAATAGAATATCAAGATGGATAATCTATTGAATAAATAGACATTAATTTTCAAGACTAAAATAGAGATGAAACACACAAATTAAGCTTAAGGCTATTATCTAAATATGAAAATTAAATCAAATGGATAAATGATATTCGATTTTCCAATCAAGTTTTTAATTTATTTTTAAAATAAATGTCTCTATCGATAGAAACTCAAATAAATTTAAATTCAAATAGTATGATGGAAAATTTTTAAATGCTGAATGTTTCTTTAAATTTAAATGAATCACTAAATCTACAAAATTTTAAAAAGGTTTATTTATAACAAGTGTTCATTTAATTAGTAAGTTTTAGCTAAATTTAAATTTCTAACTGTGAATCAGTTATCATAGATTAATTATTCTTGTAAAATATAGAAATGAACGAAGATTTTATATTTGTTTTGAATAACAATACTAACGTATTAATTAATAACGTTTATCTTTCTAATTCAGACTCAAGTAATATTTTTTAGATAGGTTAAAGTCAAATGGTAAATATTTCAAATGTTAATGTTACAAATTGTTAATATTTATTTAATGTTTTTGAACTACGGTAGATAAATGATCTTAAAATTGTTAATACTTCAGTAGTTTTAAGTGCTTATTCTACGATTTATTTTATATAGAGCACTATTAAATCAATTATTTAAAAAATTTAACTCATTTACTCAACAAAAAATATAATAATTGAAATAAAAGAATAAGATATTAATGCAGTTTAGTATCTAAGTGATTCTGCTATTTTAAAGGATATTGAGATATTTGATTGTGAAGACACTATATTTTCATTTAAAACTAACAATTTTGAAATTTCTCAAATAAATATTGATCTTCTCTAAGTTTCATAAACTATTTTCACTATTCAAGCTAATTAAATTAATATTAGTAATTTAAATATTACAAATACAAAACATTTGTTTTCCAGATTAGATATTAATTTAATAAATATAATAAGTTTTAATAACTCATAAATAGAAAATATTATTTCAAATAACAATTAAATTTAGCTTCTTTCTATGAATCAATAAAACAGTGAAGGATATGCTCTTATATCTAAAGCAAAATTTATGAATTCTACTATCCTTAACAATAATCCCTTAATCCTTTTAAACTAATTGTCTAGTATTGATTTAAAAAGTGTATTAATTAAAGATGTAAATAATATAAATAGTTAACATATTTCTATACTTATGATATAAGATTGTTATTAAGTTACTATTTCTGGGAGTAATTTTACAAACAACACAAATAGTAAAGGCCCAGGAGGTGTTGTTTACGCACTTGATAACACATAGATAACCATATAAAATTCAATTTTTTGGCTTAATACTTGTAAGTTATAAAATGGTGGAGCTATTTATATGATTAATACTATTATACAAGGAGTTTTATAAATAAACTAATCTTAGCTAATAGAAAATAAATCAGATTATTCTTCAGGTGGCTCAATTTATCTCTAAAATAATAACTTGATCTTGTAAAACTCAGTTATAGCTTCAAATTAAGCATAAATTGGTGGAGGAATATATTATGTCCAGGTTATGCCAGATTTTTTAATTGATCTGTAATAAGGCAATAAAAACAATAATACTTTCAAAAACAATCTAGCGTATATTTATGGATAGAATTTTGGTTCTACTTTAAGGAAAATATTTGTTAATTTAGAAAACATAAAAATACCTAAAAATAGTTTAAAGTAATATGAAAATAAAGTTATATTTATCAAATAATTTAAAAGTGGAGATTAAATAAATTTTGAACAAATATAATTGCTTGACGAAGAAAATAATCCAATTAGATTTATAGATGTTAACTCAACTGATTTTTCATAATTAAGTAGCGATATTTAATCTTTAGTGCAATAAATAAGTGTTTCTGTATAATGGAATTAAGAAAACAAAGAAATACAATGCATTGGATAACTTTAGACGAAATAATTTAAAAATGGAGGTTTTAACCTAGATGTTCAGATTTTTTACAAACCTATTTCTGAGTTGGTACTAAAAATAGCGAGCAATTCCTTTCCTTCACTAAAAGATTCAAAAGGAAATATTGCAGTAAATTCAGGTTAAATAGAATTAATATTGAATATAGAATTAGAGTAGTGTTCAATAGGATAAATATTTAAATAATATGGTAACTCAATAGCATGTGAATTATGCCCTGATGGTAAATATTCTTTAAGTTTAAATGATTAAGAGTGTAGACAATGTCCTGATTCAGCTGTCAAATGCATAGGTTCTAATATCTAATTAAAAAATGGATATTGGAGAGAAGACGAAAATACTGACAATATTATCTAATGTAGTTTTAACCCTCTATCATGCTAACCTTAACTTGTTTCTTCTAAAGTAAATTTAAATATTTATAATAATTCAACTTAAAATTTCTTGATTTTTTTTCTTCTTCAAATTTTTAATAAAATAGTGCTTTTATTAAAAATTATCTACTTAACTTAAGTATTTAAATTTAAAATATATTAAATCAAATAAAGCTTTACTGTATTGAAGGACATAAAGGTCCTCTATGTTATTAATGTGATACATATGGTTATATTTGGGGAAGTAGATATTCAGAAATTTATAATCATGGAGAATGCTACAAATGCGAAGAAAATATTGAAAAAATCATACTTTATAATTTACTACTTTTCTTAATGATTACTCTTTACATATTTTTAATTCTAAAAAGAATCATTATATAGCTAGAAGCTAAAGTTAAAGGATATTATTTAAATAAATTAGAAATTATTTATTTAGGATCAACATGTAAAATACTATTCTATTTTAATAGTTTTTAAAAAATTTATTTTTAAAAAAGTAAACTAATCTGATAGATCATAAATTATTTCGAAAATTCTAACTGATCATTTATAAATACTATCATTAGTATGCTCTTTTACCACAAAAATGCCGGTTTTATTTACTGTCCCTATTTAGCTATCAGGAAATTCAGTTAGTTTGGCGAGTAAATCTATTGATTGCATTTTTTCTAAATTCCCAAATTTACAACCTTTGTGGTTATTCGAATCTCTTTGGTCTTTTTCTTTACCAGTAGGAATACTTATTTTTTACTTTATAAAAGGAATTATTTTAAAGCAATTAAAAATAGATTTATTTATCAGGTATTTATAAACTGCAGCTATTTTTATTTATTTTTACTTTTACCCTATGATAATAACTCTTGCTATTAGATCTATTAATTGTATAACAATAGGAGATAAAAAATACTTAGATCTAGATTTTGGAATTGAATGCTATGATAAACATAAGCATAAGCCATACATATTTTTATTTACGATTCCTGTTATTTTTATATGGGGATTTTTAATACCTTTATTACTATTCTATAAAATTTACTATACAAAATCTAAAAAAAAGTCATTTATTAAATAAATAAAATATTCTTTCTTTTTTGCTGGCTATTAAGAACAATACTATTACTGGGAGTTTTGGAAATTGTCTTATAAAACAAGTTTGATTTTAATATCTGTTTTACTTAAGCAAGATATCTAATTAAAGGTAAAATAATATTGAAATTTTTAGCTATTAAATTTAAGAATTTCAAATTAGTCTATCATTTAATTTCCTAAAATAAATTATCCATTAATTATAACTAATTCTACCATTAAAAAAATAATTAGGTTGCTGTTATGAATCTTTCATTGATGATCTAATTTTTTTTATTATTTAAATCGCAACCTTATTTAAATAAATATTTTAATAGTTTATAGCAAATATCTACTCTAATATGTACAGTATCATTAAATTTTTGTATGATACAGATTGTAGGTGATTAAAATAACTTAACATATTAAATATTTTGGATAGCTATGACTATGCTACTTAACTTTCTTTTTGTAGCTACATTAATAATAGGATTATTAAGACTAAAAATTCCTCATCTATAATAGTAAAGAACATGTTTCTAAAATTTCATATTTTAACTTAAAAAAAAATATCCTTAATTGCTTGATGTGTAAATATAAAATAATTAAAAGGTAAGTTCTTTGCTCAAGTTTAAAAAATTAAGACAAAAAATAAAATAATTGATGAAAGCATTAAAAAAAAATGACATATTATCCTAAGAACATCAGAGACTTAAATTAGATTTAAAAAATAATTAGGACTTTGCTTTTTCACAATCTTCACCTAAAACAAATTAAATAACTTCATCTGAAATTAATGATGAAAAATTTTACACTTTATAAAATAATAACTCTATTAAAAGAATGAAAAATAAATGGTCTTACTACACAAGAAATTCCAAAAAAAACTAAATATGTAATTTTGTTTACTTTCTAAAAAATATAAAAAGTTTTTAATTTTAAAAATAGCCTTAAAAGATAGAACATTTGATAGACCAAGCTTAATAAATAATAATACAAGGGATAGTAATATTTATGAAACTGAAAGCTCCATATAAAATAATTAATATAATAGTCACCATAAATTTTAAATATAACTCTCTCAAAATAAATGTTGAATATTAAATCTTATTCGTTTAATTACCCTTAATTTTGATATGTTTATATAAATTGCTTGTAAGAAATTTAAAAGTTTCAATAACTTTAAATATATATTGTATTTATTATAATTTTATCTCAATTAAATTTATAGTAAAAAATTCCAAAATAAAAATTAAAATTATTTAAAAAGAATATTTTTTATTTAAAAACCTAGCCTAATTAATATTTAGAGGTTGCCATACCATTAGATTTTAATTAGGCATTTAGCTATATTTATTTAAATTTTCAAGTGTAAATATTAAATATTTGTTAATAGTTAAATCAATTAAATATTTAATTGTTTAGGTTGAGGTTATTGATAGAAAATTAGGAAAATTTTGTAACTTTTTTTACTTTTTTTAATAAATAAAAAGTTAAAAAATATAAATAAATAAATGAACGAATAAATAATAATAGCAATTATTTAGATGCTATTTTAAAGAAATATATATATAATTCAAAACAAGAATGAAAATTAAATCAATCGAAAGCCTTAGGTTAAAGCTGCTAATCTAGTAGTTAGGGGGTGGAGTATAATGATACTACTTTTGAATCGTGCTTGCTATCTGGTAAATTATATAATTTTGGTTTTTATTGCAAAGTTGCTAAGCGATGGCTCGCAGAAATTTATTAATTAATAATATTAGTATTGTGATCATTTTATTTTTCTTCAGGGATGTTGATAAGTGTATTAGAAAAATAAGGCTATATATTAATCTTAAATTATTTTATTATATAACCATCTAAATCGAATATTCTTATTAAAATTTGTTCTTCGTTGTTTTATGTAGGAGTACCTTAAAGCTTTAGGTAATCATCTTTGAATTTCAAGCGTAGCCAATCAGGAAATTTCATATTCTACTAGACGCCATAAGGTATATACTCTAGATTGCATATTTTTTTAATTCTTTAAAGTATCCCTTTTTCGCATAGCTTGAAACCTTGGACATTTGATACTTACTGAGAGTTTAAGTGAAAAGCCTCACCTTAAAATTATTAGAAGTAGCCGAGTTTATCAAAAGTCAAACCATGGACTTCGGAAATAATGCAACTTTCAATTAATCTCATATTAATATATGTACCTTGATTTATAATATTTTAGTTACTGTTTATCTAATAAGAGTTTTACTCGTAATCATAAAGATGAGAGATTATTTATTGCAGCTCTTTTTATTTAATTTTAACTTAAGAAAAAGGAGAATGGTCTAGTTCTTCTTTGTAGCTGTGGTCTATTTCCACTATTTTTAAGTACCAATCATTTTTAGTGCTAAATCCCTCAAATATAAGTTATTATTTAACGAACAAGAAAGTAAAATAAGATTTAGGATCTAATTTAAGGAGCTAAAGGCAAGCATAAGATTTTATAGACTCGTAATATAGTGAGTCTGGTTGTAAATCGTAATTAAAATATTTTTTAATCTCTTCTAATTTTTTATTTTTTCTAAACAAAACCTCTTTATAGTTATTAAAATCTTCTAAAAGTTAAGACATTTTAATACTTCCATCTTTGTTCAAGTACCTCTTTTCCAAGTGACTGTCTTTTTTTGAGTGCTCCAAATTTTTGAAAATGTTTTTATTTTTAATTAGGTTTTGATGAATTTGGTATCTCTTTTTATTTTATTTTACTTTTTTTTTTATAGTTGCCTTTTCACCATTTTATTATAGAATGTCTTGCTATACTATTAAAAACAAATTATCGATTAGAATTGAGCATTTTTTCCATTTTATTCCAATTAAAGGAATTTTTTTTAAGTATTTTGCTTCGAAATTAACATTTTCTTAACTAAAAGTAAAGTAATTAACTACCATAGAATTAACTAAAAGACTCCTATATTTGTAAAGACCTAAAACTGCTACTAAGGGTCCTATTACTTTCAATAAAATATTAAGTATATAGGAGAAAGGGACTCCATTTATATTTAGATTGAATTAATCAGATATTGAGGTATAACCATCAAAGGCGATAATTTAAAAAATGTAAGTTTTTCCAAGCTGAGAATATTCAGTATTTCCATAGAAAGAGAGCTGCTTATTACTTTAAGCCTGGAGCCAAAACGTAGGATCAAAATCAACAAACTATTCCATTTCATTTGTTTTATACTTAAACGTGTAAGTGATTGTTTAAACGTCACTCACTTTAAATGTACTCTACATAAATTAGATAGAATAGCTCGTCTCAATATCTATTACAGAATCGCTAAATTTTGTTTCAATTTGCGTTTATAAATTGTTTATCTGTTAAACAGATATCTACTCTTTAAACTTGATAAAACTACATTTAGCAGCATTACACTAATAATTTATGGGAAAATTCAGGTTATCATTAATTGCTAGGCTAATTTAGTTAGTATTACTTTGGTTAGAAGTATAGAATATAATTTTTTAAGCTAAGATAGAATTAATTTGTTCTAAAGGCCCTGTCAAATCTAATTCATTCTGATTAATAGAGTATTAAACAGTAGCTCCTGAATAGCTGATAGTAACAAATTTACCAGTGCTAGCATTCAACTAAACAGTCACAGTGTTACTTCTTGAAGAGATGATGCTATTAAAGGAATCAAAAGTAAGACTTGATTATGTCTAAAGTACAACTTAGTTTATCCACACTGATTAGACTAGACTTTGCTTTACATTATTGATTATTTGAGTATTCATGCCAGGTAAGGCAATAGTTAAGTCCAAGCTTGGGTTAAAATCAGGGCTTAGCTGGTCCTATACACCTATAATGTTTTTACTTTTTAAATAAGCATAAATTTAATTTGATAAGTCTTAAGTCGTTTATCCCAATCCACTTGGGTAGAAAAATGAAGTACTGCTCAAAGGGCAGAAGGTATAAACAAGTAAAATGATTCTGTTGATTTATGAGCTAGTTGTTCCTGCATTTGTTTTATCAAGCACCATAGTTAACGTTTAAGTTTGCTAATTGTAAATCATCCAAGTTGGTAGGGTTTGTTCTTAAAAGTTTTAATATATATTAATTTTTTAGATTACCATTTCCTGTGATTTTGGGTAAAGAATCTAAAAATAAAATTAGACGGTCTATCCGACTTATAGTATTTCATCCTTCTAAATAGCCTTCACAAATTACTATGTATTATTTATTATGGCTATTTCTCTGGCTGTCGATTGGAGCATAATCTGAGACTTTAAAGGCATCACAAGCACATATTTATTATTCTAAATAAATGAGAAATCGTAATTTTTAGAAACGCATGCTGACTATGCTTAATCTGCTCCTCTTTCATACTAACTAAACAGAGAAATATTTTATTTATCTCTTATATCAATGACTGAAATCATTCCTTTTTCATTCTGTTAAACAAAAACGTAGTTATCATTATAGAGAGAAACACCAAAGATGGTCCACCCAGTCAAAGAAATTCTAGAAAGGATTTTAATTTATGGAAGCGCAGTCAAATCAATTATTGCAAAGCCATTACTGCCGTCATATAAAAAGCAATAATCTGTAGAGATATCAGATTTCATCATATTTTCTGCACCAAGAGTTTGTAAATCATTCACTTGCACAAGCTTATAATTCTACTATATTTAGATTACTGACAAACCAAAATTTTATATAGAAATTAGTATGTATTAATTGTCTTTTGAGAAAACCGCTCTTTTTGTTGTACCAACTATTTGATAGTATTAATTTCTGTAATATTAAAGGAAAGAAATATGTAAGGGTCCATCAAATTTTAGGAGATAGAAACCGCTATATTATGCTACCACACAAAGTGTTTAATCTAAATTAAAATCTAATTATGCAATATTTTCGTTAACATATTAAGTAGGTACAGAAAATGTTAACATTAGAGTAACATCTTAGCTAGTATATAATGAGCTATAGTCGTAGGCGTAAAAGGCTACATTTGTTTATGAAATACCAATCAAGGGGACGTAAAATATTGTTGAACCTTTATATTAAGTCAACGAAGCTGACCAAATATTATAGACCTTATTGGAAGGTATGTCTAACTAATAAGGATTACCTTAAATTTTTCCTATACTAAATTCATGAGCATTAAAAAAACCAAAAAAAAAATTATCATCAAATATGCTGCAGTAAGGTTTCATGAAAGAAGGCTCATTTTTTTGAACAAATTACTGAGAGTTGAATACATTTGGAACCTAATCATTTAGATCCATGTCAATAAGCTAGAAAGTATAAACGCTGTTAGCGTTGGCATAGTAGAGATACTAATAATTCGAGGAAAATGTGATGTAATAAGAAAGAGAAATAATTTAAATTTAGTAGAAGTACTAAGGATTAAGTTTATCAGTTATGTTAAATACTAAAATACCTTAGGACCTGACTCCTACGTAGATCATATCTTCATTTTGGGAAATATTAATAGAGTATGCAAGAGGTTGTATGGTTTAAAAAGGCCAAACAATATTTATAGGTAGCGACAAGGGGTATTAGGAAGGATCTATGCTTTGCAAAGGTCTTAAATCAGCTACGTAGAATCCAGTGTATTAATTAGTTCCATACATATAGTTATTATCTGATGTTCCTATGCAGGCAGAAGCTATGTATCCTGTGGGAACTAAAGCAAGATTTATGATTTAATTTTTTTGCTAATCATATTTATAAACAAAAATCCCTGCCATACCTCCACCAACATAAAAGTAGTTATTGGATTTAGAAACCAAAATAGTTTTTCTGATAATAAGATTATTATCATTTTAGCTTAATTTAGCAAGAATTTTAAATTGGTCTTTTGCTTAAAAATCTACCACAGTTATGCTCTTATAGGTTCCGATGACATAAAGAAACTTTTCATCTCCACTTTTAATCATGTCCTATATTTGGTCATCATACTAGTATTCATATAACTAAGTTATCTGTACCGTCTATGATTAGAAAGAATATGCTTTAATTAAATTGGGGAGTACTCCGGCTAGGAAATATGTCCCATCATTTGAACACTCTACAGTCACACATAGAGTTTTAGATCCAAAAGCTTGTTAAGCA